TGGGAGACATTTCTCATTCATACCCCCACTGGGGGTCCTTATCTTCAGTTGTATGCTCACCGATGACCCCCTGAGAGACTCCAATGACTAGATCCCATCATACAATGGTTACACAGATAGCTCTGGTTAAAGTAAACGGGCCATGAGACAAAACTGCAAGTCATGAATCTGGATGAGGAACTGGTATGGATATTGGAGGAGGCTTAATGGGAATGGGAGGGAGAGGAGAGGGTGTATGGAGAATAGGGGGAATGTATTATATACCGTATGACACTGTCAGATAACAACAATGCTTGGTGTGACAGCCCACCTTGGGGAGGCAGGATGATGCCTGGGGCTCAGTGGCCAGAGATCCTGTCTTAAAAAACAAGATGTAGGGTGTCCTGAGAGACACCTGAGTATGATCTTTGACCTCCACACCCCCCACATGTGCATACATACACCCCCATCCCCACACACCCATGCATGCACAAACAAATCTATAGCAAATGGTATAGGGAACACACGCTGAATTGCAGCAGTATTGAACACATAGATTGTGGTATTTTACAATGGAATTTTACTGTTTGAATAGCTGCAAATGCCGGCAGCCGTATTTCTGCAGTAATTACCATATCTTTGGGAACTTTCTGCACCATTAGTGAGAAAACAGAATTAGAAATTACCAAACAAAATCATGTTGAAAACCAGCTTCTTTGGAGCCAATTTACTCTTCCCTGGGCCTGCCTGCTGATAAGAGGTGGCAGATACGTCTGCCATAACAACAATGCACTTGGCCTCATCAAATTCCTTGGTGTTCTGCAAGAAATAAAAACCTCTCGGTTCCACATCTCTAAACCCATTCATCACATCTCAGAATCCACTTTATTGAAAACACAGTAGGACCTTGAGAAGAGTACCCAGAGTGCCAAGCACACCACAGAGTCTTTGGTCCCTATGGTCCCTGGGTTTCTAAACTGAGGTCACAAAGAAGGACTCCTTGCTGTGAGCACACCATGGTCACAGTGAGTTCATTTGGTGTGAAGGCAACTCAGAAAGGCCTCTGCAAACATTCTTTAGAGTTTATTTTTGTTAGCTTGAGAATGGGTCCTAGAAACACACTCATCCCTGAGTTTCTGTGACATTTTTCAATATGAGCCCTTTACATAGTATTTGGTCCTTTTCTGAGTGTGTAAAGGCCAAACCAACCTTGATGTCGACAAGAGTGCTGCCACCACGGAAGTGCTCAAACTCCTGATCTTCCTGTTGGCACATCCTCCAGGCTCCCATCATGCATTGTACCCGCCCAGATAAAATGTCCTTTCCTGCCTCCTCAGCAAGTTCTGTCTCTCCCATACCCTCTGCTTCTTCCATGTGGACTACAGTTCCTCCAGGTTGACACTCCCAAGGTCTCTCATGCTGCCTGTGTTCTGTACCGAGCCCCACTCTGCCCTGCAAGTCCATAGGGGCCATGCACCATACCACAACTACCAATTCACCATTTGCATGGCCACAGAACTGAAACCCTGACAGGGACTCATCTTCACTATTGTGTCCTGATGTCTGGCAAACTGTCTACACCTAACAGTGCTTTATAAATATTTAAAGAATGAACACATGACTAATTTGACAGTAAGAAAACTGTAAAATATGCTTATAACTGCCTTGTAATATGATTCTCAGTTCAGACCAAAACAGTATGAGAATAGCATCTCATGAAGTGTTTTTAATATGAGATAATTGCAAAGTCAATCAGAATAGACCCTCTCTTGATTTAAGCCAAGTTTTTCCTACAGGTTTAATAGAGTTGGCTAAATAGAAACTCACATAAGTGCCTATTAATTACACTAATTAGCAAATGGCTGTATTAGAATATATGAGCTTTGTAGAACCCAGTTATAGTTGGAAGTGTCAATACACATATAGTAAGCATGTGAAAAGTGAAGGAGTGTCACAAAGAGGTAGTTTTTGTTGTAACCCCCAGTTACTTGTGGGGGTCCCTTGGTCAAATCCTGATATAGCAGCTTTTGGGGATAGGAATGGGGAAGGTGAATGATATGTCTTGGAGGATTTTTTATTTTCTATCTAAAAATATTTCATTTTTATTTTATGTGTATGAGTGTTTGCCTACATGCATGTATGTGCACTATGTGTTTGCAGTGCTTGCACAGTACAGAAGGGGGCGCCAGATCCTCTGAAGCTGGAGCTACCAGTGGTTAAGCACCACGTGGGTGCTGGGAACAAAACCTGGGTTCTATGTAAGAGCAGTAAGTACTTAACCACTGATCCATCTCTCCAGCCCTATTCTCCCCTCTTAGCAGAATATAATGGAGAAGTGTTTGAGCTACCACAAAAATGGGAGTGAGGAAGTTAAGTCTGAGATTAACTTGGGTTTTCCTGGAGACTTCAGTTGTGATCTTGATTTACCTAAGCAGTGTGATGGTGTCTTCTGACCCAGCAATTATACTCCATGGCATAAGAGAATCTGTGAAGACTAGCTATGTCAACTTGATCTAACCTAGAATTAGCTGGAAAAGGGATTCTCCATGAAGGACTAGGTCAGGCTGGTTTGAAGGCAAGTCTCTGGGGGGAACGGTCTTCACTATCTTAATTAATGTTGGAAGATCCAGTCTAAAAATTTCCTGGGTTTGGATCCTGGACTGTGTAAGTGTAGAGAGAGGGGTGAGCACATGCATGAATTATCTCTCTGCTCTTGTCTGTGATGCGACCAGCCACTTGAATTTCCTGCCTTGACTTCCCTACATTGATGGACTGGTGTGAGTCAAATAAACCTTTATCTCTTCAAGTGAAAGCATTTAATCACAGGAGCAGAGAGGAAACTAGGACAGAACCTGAATCATATGTTTATAAAGAGTGTGCAGCCGCACCATTCATAGCAGCAAGAAAGTGTGAACAACACAAACCAGATGAGTAATGGCCAGGCAACATGGGCTATCTACATATGATGTATGTGACTTTACCATACAAATAAATGAGGTGTTGGCCAGAGTTACAACGTGGATGAATGCCCAGAACGGATGCTTTATGGCAGAAATCAGACACAGATCCTCAAGTTTCATGATTCCTCCCTGGGCTGGTGATGCAGTGTGATTGATTGAGTACATGCCTGTATGATTCTGTTGATGTAGAATATCATGTATATAAAATATCATGGAGGTAGACAATACATTTTGGTTGTCAAAAATTTGGAAGCTTAGGTGTTGTGTGATATGATTCCTGGGGAGATGTGGACAAACATCTACTTGCCTCAGATAAGTAACAACAGACCAAAATAAGAACGCCACCAAAGTCTAATTTGGTAATTTGGTGAATGAGTTTTATTGGATCACTTACAGAGGCAGAAATGACTCAAGGACAGCTGTGTTACCAAGGCCCACGGCAGCACAATTGACAACTCACAAACCTGGGACCCTGAGCATGATGCACAGACTGCCTGTAGCTTGGACAGTCAGTGTCCTTTCCAGGTTTCTCTGCTGGTCTCTGTCTGTTTCAGGCATCTCAGAATATGCATGGTGAATCTGGTCAGTTTCTGAGACTTCCTGAGCTTACTGGACTTCCTCCAGGATGGACTGTTGCACCTCATCTTAGAGCATCCTGAGTGATAAGGAGCTTCCCTACAAGATGGATATTTATCTAGGGGGGAAGTTGCTGCACAATAGAAAGTTGTTGGGGGTTTTGATATGAAATGTCCCGCAGGCTCATGTGTTTGAACACTTGGTTCCTGGATGATGGCCCTGGTTGGGAAAGCTGTGGAATCTTCAGGAGGTGGATCCTTCCTGAAGGAAGTAGGATACTGGGGGAAAAGTGGGGGTGGGGTGGGGTGGGCCTTGAGGCTTTATAGCTGGGCTCCATTTCCTGTTTGCACTCTTGCTTCCTGACGACTGACACAATGTGAACAGCCAGCCCGCCACCCCGGCCGTATCCCCTTCAGCTGTCAACTAGAATAAGCCCTTTAAGCCCTTCCTTCCCTAAACTGCTTCTTGTTAAAAATTTGGAAAGTGGAAAGTGGACAAGGGCAAGCCCAACATCTGCTTCGGGTACTGGGGGGGTTTTGCTGTAAGGAGAATGTTCTAGAAGTGGGTGATAGCTGTTTAGCTTTGTTAAATCATAGCCCTTAAAGGGCAAAATTCGTGGGTTTTTTTTTCAGATATGAAACATATATCTCAATGTTTTAAAGTTTGTGGGATGCACACTTACTGGCTTATTAGCATATGTCCTAGTTAACTCGTTATTCTCACTGTAACTGCAAAAAGTGCTATACCTGTTAGTAAGTATATCTGCTTACTGTTCCTGGTAAAGATATGCTTGAAGATCCCTGAAAGAGGGCCAGCAAGATGGTTCAGTGGGTAAAGAAGCTTGACAACCCAAGTTCAATCCCTGGAGCCCATATGATGAAAGGAGAGAACTGAGTCTTGTAAGCAGTCCTTTGACCCTCACCTGTGCTATGCATACCCCCTACACGCAAATAAGTAAAACATGTAAAAAAAAAAAGAAAGAAAATGTCTTCAAGAAGCATTTCATTAACTATGAAAAACCTCTGAAGCAGATTTTACATGAGCTGTATCACTGGTCCCTCTAAAAGATTCATTACTTGTGTCTCAGGGAGGGCACATGTGTACCACAATGGGTATGCAGATGTTGAAGGACAGTTCCCAGGTTCCTTTCCACCTTGTTTGGGGCGTTCCACTGCTGTAATCCCAGCATTCCTGTGGTGAGATGGGAGACAGTAAGAGGAAAATCACCCAGAATCTCAGGCCAGCTAACCTGGGCACAGCAGACCTTGCTTGCCTTAAATAAGGTGTTAGAGTGCTGGCCTGGCATGTGTGAGCCTCTGGGCTCAACGACAAACTAACCAAAAGCTTCTGTACTGATCCCTGCATGCACCCAGGATGGGAAGCCCTGGTCTGTAACAGTCAAACTAGGTCATTCTTGTCTACAAAATAAACATGGCATTTTTGTTTGAAAAGTTGTTTTAATGAATTAGAAAAAGATACAGTGAGTTGAAAATAGCAAATTTATTTATAAAATACAAGAGACGGGAAATCACCTGAATTCTCTGAAAATCAACATAAAAATGTGCTCCACATCCTACCTGCCTCAGCATCACTCATGACACTGTGGCGGCAGAGAAACTTCTGGCTCTTGATTTGAGGGGCCTCAGCTTGAAAGAGCATGCCAACCGGGCAGAAGCTTGTTAGCAGCCCGAGTCAGCACTGTGGGTGGGGGCACCCACAATTTCTCCTGGCTCCCTTGTCTACCTTGTTTATCCCAAAGCCCTCCAATAGCTATTTGCATTTTAAAGTCTCCCACAACCTTCACTAAGGCTTACCCCTAGGGACAATGTACTGACATTCGAAGAATGAAAGAAATACTTTTCAGTTTCAAAGGAACGAATATCTAAACCTGAAATGATCAAAAGTTGACTTCTTTCTCTTGAAAAAAAAAAACAAAACAAAAAACATAACAACACAGCACCCAAAAGTCTTTGTCGCTTGAAAGATGTGCTAATAAACTTGAAAATGAAAAATTAAGTCACTGCCTTTTTGTCCCCACAGCAATGGGGACCTCTAAAGTGTTAAACCTTCCAGGTCTTTGGGCAGTGGAATCATTTGTGTTCCAGCAAAAGGACTAGGCTTCTAGATAGGATCTGAGCTCCCCTTGCAAGACTGGGGGTCCTGTAGAGCCTCACTAGATGCTTGACTGCTGCCACTCAGGTTACCTAGGTAGCTGTTGATGACACTAAGTTCCTGGATCACCAGGCTCAGGTCTTCATGAAGTCGGAGCACAGCACCCCTCACCTCGCCTAGAAGCGTGCGGATAGAACCTGACTCGGAGGATTCCCGGGGCAAGCCTTGGCTTGTCTGCAAACTAGCCTGGGACACTGAGGGGAAGTAGGTTCTTGATGGGGTGGAGAATGCTACCTGGTTACAGCCGGGAATGTGACCTGGCTTCTCTGTAGTTGAATTGGAGTTATCTGGAATATTGGGGTATTCCTCGTCATCTGAAGATGCTGTGCTCCTGGGAGCAAAGGGCTGGTGAACTCTGGCTGCCTCATCTTTGTATGTGAAGGGGGCAGAAGACGGCTGTGAGTGGGGCTGAATCCAGAAGGAAGGGCTGGTGAAAACCAGGGGAAAGTGATGGGCTGACTTCTCTGGATGGACCAAGTCAGGAGACGACACAGACAAAGTAGAAAAGGAAGATGCGACCTCAGAGGTGGTGGAGACTAAAATAGAATGGAGAGAGAGACATTTATATAACATACAAATAAGAGTAATAGCTACAATAATTGTGCCAGGTAAATACCTATCTGGAAGGCCTCAATATAAACCAGTCTGAATTTTAAAAGTTAGAAATTCACAAACCTGAGAAAAAAAACAACTCAGGAAACAGACAAATCTACAGAAGTATTATATACTAATAATGCCATGGAAATAAACATAAAGTAAAATGATCAATATTCATCATGACTTCCAAACCCTTCCCAGCAGGCCTTGTCTGTAGGCAAACCCTACTGTAGGCCTTGTCTGTAGGGGAAGGTATTAAATCTTCTGCCTGCCAGTGTTTTATGTAGGCATTTAAAGTAGAAAGGCTGAGAAAGTCCTAACCCAGTCTTTCACCTTTTCCCCATACAGATATTATTATAACACCATAAACTCCAGTATCATGAACTGGAGTTCCTCTCCGTGGTCAAATTCAACAAAGACTAAGTCCCACCCAGCTCAGAACCAGAGCACTGTAGCACAGATGAACCCACTTTTCTCAGTAAGGATCTTTAAGCAGCATAAAAAAGCACTTGAAACCCATTTCATAAAATTAAAGGCTTGAGAACAACTTCATTTCCTTTCAGGCAGAATCATATTAAGTGTCTTCTCCTATCTACTTCACTCTAGTTTCCCAAACTGTCATGAGTGTGTTCCTTAGGATATAGTAGATGCCTTTCCTGAATGGAGATGGGAGAGGAGGGGACTAGGGGTGGGGGGGGAAGGGAATGGGGGAGAGAAACTGAGAGGGAGGCAGGGGGAGGCTGTGGCCAGGATATAAAATAAATAGGTGAATAAAAATAAAATAAGACAAAATATAGCAGATACTGGGGCTAGAGAGATGGCTCAGTGGTTAGGAGCACTTGCTGCTCTTGCAGGGGGCCTAGGTTCGGTTCCCATCACCCACAAGCAGCACCCACAACAATCAGTAACTTTGCTTCCAGGGTACCTGACACCCTCTTCTGACCTCTATGGGCACCAGGCATACATGTGGTGCACATACATACATGCAGCCAAAATACCTACACAAGTAAAATAAAGGAATCTTAAAAATAAAAAGCAAACAAACAAAAAACCAGGGCTTTTCAGCCAAGTGAGCCTGGTCACTGCACATTTAGCTCACATTAGGAGACTGACTGTGTACATCAGCACATTTAAAATGATGAGAAATCCACCACAGTACTTTCTTTAACAGGGGGGGTCTCATGTAGCCCAGGTTAGCCCTAAACTCACTATGGAGCCAAGGATGACCTTGAACTCCAGATCCTCTTGCCTCTGTTTCCCAAGTGCCAGGGTTACAGGTGTGTCATGACACTAGGTTCACGTGACACTGGATCAAATCAAGAGCTTCATGCGTGCTAGGCAAGCCCTCTACCCACTGAGCTAGACCCCCAGCCCTAACACATTTTATCCGAGTGTTTCCCAAACTTTTTTGGATACAGGACTTTTTTTTTTCTTTTGGAATACCTACTTGGATTTATTTTTGGATATACAGCACAAATTGGTGAAATCTAGTCCTCGGGTGTCTGATTCGCTCTGAACTTGTTACTTTAAAGATTTACTCGGCCAGGCACACAGCTGGGAAGCTGAAGCCTGCCACTCAGCACTCAGGGATTTTGCTTTGTTGGTAGATTTTACTACATATTCATGTCCCTTCTGAACTAAACTGGAACTCATAAAAATGGCCAGGGCAGGTGGCCATTCTCTATTTTTTGCCTCTAAGCTCCTCAGGGCCTATCTCCAGTTCTCAGGGAAAGTTCCAATCGCAAAACTTGTCTTTGGATGCCAAGAGTATTCTCAGCTGGTGTGAGCACAGGGATGAAAGGAAAGCAGCCACTCAGCTGTGCACGGTCAAGGCCAGCCGAGCTCCCTGGGAGAATCTGGGTCAGGCTAATCCAGTTGCTCCCTCTGTCCTGGGGCAGGAGGGCGGTGCCATGCTATTGGGCATGTGGATAGTGACAGTCATGTATGTGCTCACATGCTCTGTGCTGGATCCCAGCTGTCATCTACTGCATCCTTCCCCTCCTGGGCTGGCTCTCTGCTCTCTAGACTCCATGTCCCCACTTCTTGTTTTGCTGTCATTTGTGAACAGCACAATGACCAGCAGGCCAATGACAACAAGAGGTGAAGGCATTAGAATATCCACATCTGAAAAAGCTCTTTCTACCCTCAGGTTTAGTGATAGTTTTCACAAAGAATTTTAGGCAGAAAGTCTTTTCCTTTGGACTTTAAAAAAAATATCTTAGTGTGTACACACACACACACACACACACACACACACACACACACACACACACTGGTTCTCACCTTTCCACCTCATTTGAGGCAGGGTCCCATGTTCACAGCTGTGTACACTAGGCTAGCGGCCTGAGAGATTCTGGGGAGTCTCCTGTCTCTGTCCCTTATCAGATGCTCACTACCATGCATGGCCTATGTGACTTCTGTGGATCCAAACACGTCTCCATGAAAGCATGAGACTTGCTTGAGCAGTGAGTCTTGAAGGCCATCTTCCACTACCTTCCTGTTTCCAGCATTGTGAGTGCTAAGTCATAGCCATTCTACTTTTTTATTTTAAAGATGTATTTATTTTCATTTTATGTGTATGGGTGCTTTGCCTGTATGCATGTCTGTATACCAGGTGCATACCTGGAGTCTGTGGAGGCCAGAAGACAGCATTGACACCTTGGAACTGGAGTTATGGATGGTTGGGAGCCACCATGTGGGTGCTGGGAATTAAACCCAGGTCCTCTGGAAGAGCACCAGTGCTCTGAACTGATGAGCCATCTCCCCAGCCCAGCTGTTCTAATTCCTACTCATGGCACAGAGCCTGTTGCACCTCTGAGGTATTAACAAATTTCCTCTTCATCCCCATGCTCTGGAATCCTCGATGCTGTTTACTGAAGCAGGGCGATTTTCATTGTCTGAGGTCAAGCGAAAGTGAGTTTTAATCAGGCAACTCATTTCCTTCAGATTCAAGCATTTTCTCAAGACTTTCATCAGTGAGCTGTGGCCTCTGGTGTCCCTGTTCTTCTAAACTTCTGGTTTGCACATAAGAGCGGCTGGACTCCTAGCTTTCCAATGTATGCAGTGTGCGCACACATTCACGTGTGTGGGTGCAGGTGCGCGTGTGGAGTCATGTGGAGGTCAGGGGACACCCTTGGGTGTGTGTCCTCTCCTTCTTCTATGACACGGGGCCTCTTGATGACCACTGTGTTCTGCCTAGCTGGTCTGTAAGCTTGCTGGGATTGTCCTACATCTCCCGTCTCAATACAGACACACCAGCATCACACACGTGTGCCACCACACCCCTGTCCTGGGGTCCACCAGCATCACACACGTGTGCCACCACACCCCTGTCCTGGGGTCCACCAGCATCACAACCCCTGTCCTGGGGTCCCACCCCTGTCCTGGGGTCCACCAGCATCACACACGTGTGCCACCACACCCCTGTCCTGGGGTCCCCACTCTGGTCCTCATGGGTGAGCAGCACTTTATCCAGCCCTTTTTCTCAAGGATTATTATTGGTGTGTGTGAGCACACCACAGCACATGTGTGGAGGTCACAGGGCACTTCATGGAACCCATTCTCTCCTACTTTTATGTGGGTTTAGGGACTTGACCTCTGGTTGTCAGATTTTCTCAGCAAGTGTCTACCCTCTGAGCCACCTTGCCAGCTTCCTTTCTAATTTTCCTTCCCCTTTCTGTCACTAACCTTGTCTCTTTGTCCTACTTCTTGGAAGTTTTGTCAGCTTTAGCTTCCAGTCCTTCTGGTGGATATCTTGTGTCTGCTGGCTGTTTTTAATTTTTGAAGAGGTTTCTGTTGTTCTCAGAAATTCTCAAAACAGCCTGTTCTTGTTTTCTAGGCACATCATATTTTCTTATCTTTTGGAGATCTTAAAGATACATTTTAAAAGTATTTTCTTTTCCCCTCACAGCATAATTTCCTCCATTGTGTTTCCACACTGTTCCATATGAGAGGCCCTTCCAGAAGGCTCTTATTCTGTGTCTGCTTGTGCTAAGAACAAAGGCTGAAAGCTGATGGGAGCTTTCAAAATGAGCACAGAGCACCAACTTTGAGGCCCATTAAACAGCCACTGCCTGGGCAGGTTGTTTGACTAGAACTACAGACACCAGTGAAGCAGTTCTTCCCTCTGAGGCAGGTTAGCTTCTCAGAATAGCCTCCTGTTTGCTGCCCTGAGAGGAACGGCCTGGCTACCAGCCTTCTGGCAGCCATCAGGGGAAGGGTGCCGGCATTTGGCTTGCTCTGCCCACTCACTCCTACAATTGTTCTGGTTACAGTCCACACAACCTGACTACCTCTTGGGGCTATCATTTCAGAGACCCACCAACTACTCTCTCCAGATTTCCAGACCTCCCCACCATGGGAGTGATAGGCAGCTGATTACCTCTAGGTGAAGTCCAAGGATAGAACTCATTTTTATTTTATTCTTTTATATGATGATGGTAGTGGTGCTTTTGTCTGTTTGTATTTTGTTTTTTTTGTTTTTTTTTTTAAAGATACGGTCTCTCCATGATCCCTGGCTGTCCTGGAACTCACTATGTACATCAGACTAGCCTCAAACTCAAAGATATCTACCTGACCCTGTGCCGTGGGGGCTGGGATTATTAGAACCCATTTTTAAATAGCTGCTTCCTAGTTCTCTTTAGCACATGTCTTGGTTTACATTTACATGTGGTTTGTCCTCACGCCTTCATGTGTTGGAAGTATGCTTCTCAATGTTTCCATGAGAAGAGGTGGCCTCTTTAAGAGGCTGCATCTGGTAGGAGGTAACCAGGTCACTGGGGATACTGCCCTTAGAAAGGATTGTTGACTTTCTTCCAGAACTCAGGTTAGTGCCTGTGAAAGTGACTTATTATAAAGTGCAAACCTGACTCTCAAATCCTTCTCTCGATTCTTATCATGTGATCTTTCTCTCTCATATGAGGCTATCACTCACCAGATC